AAACTAGGTCGTTGTATGTGTTTTAAAAGTCTCTTGAACACATTACATTCGGTATAAAATCTGCATCAACGTCTGTTAGCAACGTGTAGCTTCTTCTTCTTCTTCTTCTCTTTTTAATGGCGGATCGCAAACAGCTTTTGGTTGCATACCGCCACCTACTGTACAAGAGTGTGTATCATCATGTCATCCCTCTAATAAACCAGCATATCGAAAACATAAAACTAAGAAACCATAAAATAAATAAAACAAAACAAAAAAAATCATCCATGGTCTATTCTAAACTACTTTTAGATTTTTTTCCCTATCCCAGTTTCCCTCAAAAAGGTGAACAGTGCCTTTCTGGTAGCTCTTTCTCCTTCTCCTTCTGTTCCCAGAATACCAGCTACATCCCACTCCCTCTCTGCCTCTAAAACTTGATCCCTTCATTTTCCTCTTTCATCTCTATAGGTGACACAATGTAATAAAATATGTTCCACATGTTCTTTTACTCCACAGCTCCCACACTTGTCTCTGTCACTTTTCCCCATGACATACAGAGTACCATTCAAAGCCGTGTGATTTATTCTGAGTCTAGCGATCGTGATTTCCTCCCTTCTGTTTCTTTCTTTATAAATATGAATTGTAATTGTCTTTTGTACTTTGTGATATTCTTTGCCTTTCTGGTCTTTCTCCCACCTTTTCTGCCAGATCTCCATGCCTTTCTTCTTAATGACTGCTTTTCCTTCTCCTTCTCCAAGTTGAACTGGTAATGTGATTTCCTTTTGTAGTGCACTTTTTGCTCATTTAGCAGCACACTCGTTCCCTTTCACCCCCTCATGAGCAGGCACCCAGCAGAACTGCAGATCTATGCCGCCTCTGTGGAGTCTTAACAGGCTGTGATTCAGTTCTATGAGAATGTCTTCTCTGGCAGTTGTTGTTGATTGTATGCTTTGTAAACTGGACAATGAATCTGTGCACATCACCACCCTATCTGGTCTGACCTCTTCAACCCACTGTAATCCTATTATTACAGCAAGCATTTCTGCTGTGTACACTGATAAGTTGGTCTGACGCTCTTTTTGATATCGATATTTTAAATTCTGGGATATATATACCAATTCCGACACACTCTTCCTTGTTCTTAGAACCATCTGTGTACATTTTGAGGTAATTGTGATAATTACTCCTGAGGTACAAACTTGTTTTGAATCCTACTTCATTTATTTGCCACTCTCTTTTCTTTTCTACAATACTCACATCTATATTTGCTATTGGAAAAAGCCATGAGGGTGAATCCACTACTGAATGGATTTGATGGTGAAAACTCTAACTCATGCCATATGTCCTTATTTTTCCTTTACTTGTCCATCCAAACCCACGCCCCTGAAACTTGGAATATTCCCAGCACTCCTGTAATGTTTTGTTTGTGACATTACCTTCCCCACTTCCTTTTAACCTGACCCAATAAGCCATATCCATATGGCCCCGTCATCTGCATATAGCGCAGATTTGATGCATCCGTCCAAATTACTAAAAATGTCATTTATCATAACGTTAAATAATATCGGGCTGATTGAACTCCCTTGAGGAATACCATTTTCTATACTGCACTCTTTTGAAACCTCTGCCCCTACTTTAACTCTGAATTTCCTGTCTGATAAAAAAGCCATGATCCAGTTATACATTCTCCCCCCAACACCCATTCTACTCAATTTGATGAGCAACCCATCCCTCAACATAGTCATACGCCTTTTCAATATCAAAATATACTCTTTCATTTTCATTGTCTTTTCAACCTCATTGCTTACTCTTACCAAAGCATCAATTGTGGATCTTCCTTTACGAAAACCACTCTGAAAATGACTCAGTAACCCTCTCTGTTCTAAGACGTGTGATATGCACTATCATCTTCTCCATCCATTTACACAAGTGTGATGTAAGTGCTATGGGTCTGTAGTCATTGGGATTAGCAGGATCTTTCCCTGGCTTATTAAATGGCAATATGACTGCCGTTTTCCAACTCCTTGGTAAAACTCAATTTCTCCAGATTTTATTAAATAGTCTCAGTACTAATTTGAATGTTTCCACAGGTAATTGCCGGAACATGGCATAGCATAACTGATCTTGTCCTGGTACTGAGTATCCTGTAAAGCTATTTTAAAAGTTCTGCTATTGAGAAGTCTACATCAAGAGCTGATTTATCATCCCGTCTCTTTTCCCTCACATTTTCATTTTCTCTTAATACACACTCTTTTTGCTGTCTATGTTTGTCATCCAGGTGCTCCCCACTATGCACCGCGGCAAATGCCCTACCTAAACATTCTGCCTTCTCTTCATTTGAAACTGCCACTTTATCCCCATCAATCAAAGCGGGAATTTTAACCAACTTCCTTTTCCCATTCATCCGTTTAAACATAGACCATACATCCCCTAACTTTACTCCTCTTCCAATGGTGGAACAAAACTCTCTCCATTACGTCTTTTTTGTGTATTTTATTGTTTTACGGGCTACTGCCCTTTTCCTTTGATAATCTGTAATATTGTCTTGGGACAAGTCTTTCTTTAAAGACCTAAATGCCTTGTTTCGTTCTTTAATAGCTCTGCTACATTCCTCATTCCACCTCGGCACCACCTTCTTCCTACCCTCTGTTGTTCTTTTTGGTATAGTTTTATTTGCTGCTTCTTTAATGTGCATTGTGACTTGATTTGAGCACTCCTCTATACTTCCTTCTAATGCTAATAATTGTGCTGACTCCTTACAGTAAAGCCTAAATGTGTGACTATGAGTATCAATTAGGTTAAAAATTATCCGTTTTAAGCAGACCTTGTTGTTTCTGAAGGTACCATATTTATATTGATGCAATTATGAATTTACTTAAGCCTTTAGGGTTTTATTAAATGTCGACAACAGTGTTTCATTTTGTATTTAACCCTTCACTCCGCTTTCAGAACCATGACCTGATTGAACAGGTTGGATTGGGAAGGCGGGCAGTCTCCTATAAATGTGGTTGGGAAGAGAGGGGAGGGGGGCATTTGTGTTTGTTCCTTGCTGGTGAACGCAGCACCAGGCATGATGTTTTGTGTTCCTGTAAAAGAATAAGGAAGGCAAAGAAATAAAACACCTGTTTATTTTTGAAAGAAAACCCTCTCTCCATATATTGTTTTTTCACCTGCACCTCACATTGTAACACCTATTTTAAAGTGAAGTCTTGTTCATAACCAATAAGCTAGTAGTTTGACTCTAGTTGACCTGAACAGGTTCCCTATTCTAAAGTTGTCTACTCTTGACACTTTGTAAATATATTATAACACACACTGAAATTAACCTCAACAGCACATGAACAAAGTAGGCACATGTCAAAATATCTGTTTTATTAATGAACCACTAAAGAGAGGTTCAGACACATACCAAAACATGTCAAGTTTCTCCAAGGCTGAGAACACATATGCAGCCTGTACTTTAATAAAAACTGATTTTTAACAGTCGGTAAACATAAGTAAAGGCATTAACCCCGTGTCGTTTCACACTAAGGTTAAGGAATAGTGGATAGGAAAAGACGATAGGAGCTGATTTTTGGACAATTCGACTGCAACGCAGAACAGACTGCTAACTCAACAGGAACTATCAAAAACACCCCAATAGAAGTTTAAAGTCACAACATTTTATTAACAGATTATTTGAGAAACTACTCTGCAGATTAGTGAACAGTGAAACTAAATTCCTTCAATGCAGCTTAAAGAGGCTAGCAGTTTAACCCTGGATATATAATATTTTATATATGGAATAACAAGGCTATTAGAAAACCATGGTTGAAACACGGCATTGTAAAACATTTCTTCATAGTTCAATAAACAACAAGAAAGTCCCCTCAGATGTTAAGACCTTTACAGATACATGCAGCTAAATATAACATTTTAAAAGGTTAAGATACACAAGGAGGTAAAAGGTATGATAATAACAAATTAAATACAGTGTTATGTTCCCTCCTAAACTAGGGGTACAAAGGGAAGTAACAACATGTAAAAATAACCGGGAGAGAGGAAACTGATTTGGCAAAATTAGTAGATAATGTTTAACTTTTTTGAAAAGGAAGAAGGCTCACCAGCCAATTTACAAAACAAACTTAAGATGAACTGAGAACAACTTTCTCCTAAAAGAAAGTGACTGAAGTAGGACTCAATGCACAAAGATAAACTGGAGCACATCTCCTAACAATGAACAAGTTAAACAAACAGGTCTCACACAGAGACACCACACTACACATGCTGCCACGTCACACATGCAGCCCAGAGGAGAAGGATTATGAAAACTAAATTATGGTTTCTCTCAGAAAGATAAGACACAAGACAAGTGAATAGATTCAACAATATGAAACCCTATCAAATAAAGTGAACATATAGGTACAACAGAAATACAAATACAAATTAATAGTAATAAAAACGTCATAATTCTAATTAAGGTTAAACGATTAAAATGTAAAAATAAATGTTGTTATTGAAACTGTTAAAAAAAACTAATATAAGATAAAAGTAGGTAAATAATAAAGACTAAAAGACCATTTAAAGTGGGGGGTTGCTAATAATAAGCTAATCTAAAGAGATGTGTCTTTAGCTGGCATTTAAAAATGTCCACTGAGCCTCTCTGATATTTCCTGGTGTTCCACAGTTTGGGAGTGTAGTGGAGAAAACCCTCGCCCATTTTATTTTGGGGGATTTTAGGGATATTTAAAAAGCTGAGGAGGACCTCAGGGCTTGTCCTGGTACATAAAACAAGACTGACTGTGAATTGAAGTCTGTTAGTCAGACTTCAATTCAGAAAGACTCTTAAAATATAACAATACAGCTCTCAGGACTTCAGGAGGAGGAAACAGCTAGCTTGGCTCTCATAGTTGTTCAAAACAATGCAGTGTGGATTCGCTCGTGGACATTAAGGTGAATACTTTGAGAAAACGTTTTCCCACACTCTTAACACTACTATGGTGTGTCTCTCATGTGAACACGGTGATGTCTTTGGAGAGTACCTGATGTAGTGAACGTTTTCCCACACTCTTCACAGCTGTACGGTTTTTCTCCCGTGTGAATACGTCGATGTGATTTGAGATCACCTGATTGAGTGAACGTTTTCCCACACTCTTCACAGCTGTACGGTTTTTCTCCAGTGTGAATACGTCGATGTATTTTGAGAGCAACTGATGAAGTGAATGTTTTCCCACACTCTTCACAGCTGTACGGGTTGTCTCCTGTGTGAATACGATGATGTACTTTGAGATCACCTGATCTAGTGAACGTTTTCCCACACTCTTCACAGCTGTACGGTTTTTCTCCAGTATGAATACGATGATGTCTTTGAAAATTAGCTAACTTCATGAATGTTTTCCCACACTCTTCACAGCTGTACGGTTTTTCTCCAGTGTGAATACGTTGATGTGATTTGAGAGCACCATATTGAGTGAAAGTTGTCCCACACTCTTCACAGCTGTACGGTTTTTCTCCTGTGTGAATACGATGATGTGCTTTGAGAGCACCTGATGTAGGGAACGTTTTCCCACACTCTTCACAGCTGTACGGTTTTTCTCCAGTGTGAATACGTTGATGTGATTTGAGAGTACCTGATTGAGTGAATGTTTTCCCACACTCTTCACAGCTGTACGGTTTTTCTCCAGTGTGAATACGTTGATGTGATTTGAGAGCACCTGATTGAGTGAAAGTTGTCCCACAGTCTTCACAGCTGTACGGTTTTTCTCCAGTGTGAATACGATGATGTGCTTTGAGAGTACTTGATGTAGGGAATGTTTTCCCACACTCTTCACAGCTGTACGGTTTTTCTCCAGTGTGAATACGATGATGTGCTTTGAGAGTACTTGATGTAGGGAACGTTTTCCCACACTCTTCACAGCTGTATGGTTTTTCTCCAGTGTGAATAAGCAGGTGGAGCTTTAAATTTCCAGATATTGTAAACGATTTGTCACATTGCTGACAAATGTGACATCTCTCTCTTCCTTTCGGTTTCTAAAACAGACGGACAGAGAAAGAGAGAAAGTAAATCTAAAAAGCATAAATACATATACAGTTAACACAATAAAAACTTGCTTAATACAAACCTTCAGTTAACAAAATACTTATTTCACTAACTGTTTGCGTTTAATATATTTGATGCAGTAATACAGCAACATTCTAACCAAAGTAAACACAGCAACGTTCTACATTGGGAATGAGATTTCTGTAAATATTTTTAACTAAATAAACTACCCAGTAATAAAACTTGTATAGCCCTTATTTGAATCATTAGGTTTTAAAAGTTGTAAAATGCACTAAAAGCTGAATCCAGATGTATTTTCTCTCTCCATTCATTCTACTGAGCCGAGTGAGGGAGATTGGAGGCGGGGCTTAAGGGAAAACTCAACTGCGCATGCTCTATGCTCTCGACAGCAAGGCATGATGGGTAATTTGTGACGTTTTGCTCTTGAGAATGTCAGGCCATTTTGACTTAATGTGCCAATGAGCAGCTCTCATAACAAAGAATGAGGCCTCCGATGCAGTATCCAGTTCTTATTAAACATCCATGAGTGAAACACAGGAGAGCTGGAGCTTTATGGCAAACACCGAAGGTTTATTATGAAGTTACGGTCGGAGAATTGACAAAAACATGTGTTGCTGACATGAGGTCACACAGAGGTTGCCGACCAACTCTGAACATCTTCCGGTACCGGGGGCACGGTAGCCTATTTTTCAGGCCTCAGGCTCGAAAATGACATTCCCAGAACAATTGACCATAACTTCTCTTCTAAAAAGGGGTAAATTAATAATCTTTTTTCTCAAAGCAATGATAAACCTGTGAGTTGCATGTAGAACAGTCAGAGTCAATATAGATTTTTTTTACATTTTAAAGTAAATTCAGATTGAACATAGTAAAAAAAAACGTAAATGATAGTGTCCGTCCAAAAAAAAAACATTACTTATAGTGAAAACCACCCTTGAATGATGGGATAGTAGACTAAAAGTTTTAGGAATCCAAACTATAACATATAAGTACCCTGTATCAAGATTGATGCAAAACAAGTGACATTTGACCTTTTTATGGAGATTTAGAAGAAAACCCACTTCTGGGGTCATTTGGGTGGATTTGCCATATCTCTGGCCCCCCTCCTTCGATTTTGATGAAATTGACTTCTCTTTTTAACTGTTGGAGCCAATAGAATCGAGGGGAAGTTCCTAAAATCCATCTAAACATTACCCATTGGTGAATGAGTGATGCACAGCCAGAGTGCCCCGGAACCGGAAGCTGTCCTACACTCTGGTAGCTATCAGAGCGGCTACATATGAAATCTCCGTTATTGACATAAATATGAGGATGGTTTATCAGTAATCATTTCAAAGTGACACAGACACATTGGATTAACCTTCAGCAGGGTTTTTATCGTTTTAATGCCATTGAACAGAAGAGCTCAGGTGAGACAATGTCCCGTAAATGCTCCGTGAAGCAACGTGTTGTGATGTCTGGTTTTGTTTCTCATGTCGCAAGTTTTGATCGCTCAGTGATGATACTTATATATGTCTGGAATCTGTGGAATCTCACGTCGGCTTGCTAGTCGATATATTGTTTTGCTGATACGATAAGTAATAAGGGTATTTTAACGGAGGTTCTGTGCTAAGTGCGTTAGCATTTTTTCGCTCAGGGCTAATTCAGAGCCTTTGTTATTACCCTTATGTTTCGTTTTACAAGAAATTGTTAATATTGTCTGATAGCTGAGTTTCTTCCCGTTAGGTGGGTACGAAACATTCATAGTTTTTTAAATGTTAAGAAGCCCTCAGACGCTGTTTCTTGCAAGATGTTGCACTTCACTTTAAACAACAGTAAAAAGTGTGTAACTTGCAAACTGTGTAAAGTCGAACTTGCATGGCACGGGAGCACCACAGTGATGCGGGAACATCTCAAACGTAAACAAAAAACCACCCGATCAAGATCCCTCCGCCTCACGTCCGTCTCTCTGATCATACTGTCAGGGTTTCTTTTTCCAATAATGACCGGCTCGCTGCACATTATCCGGCTTATTACATGGCCAAATGCTAAACAAACTGACAACTAACTTGACTTATTTTAACAGAATAACAAGGCTATTATCACGATACTATGCTGTATAGCAGGGGTCGGCAACCTTTTTGATATGAAGTGCCATTACAAAAAAAAATTGTTATCAGCGTGCCGACGATCGTGAATGATCAACGGGGGGGCGGGGGAGCCTCGCTGCGGGGAAGCAGTGTGCGTGTGTACCTGTCAGCGCAACTTACATGATGCCGAATTTAACAAACACATTTAAATAATTGGTTTAAACTGCATAATAATAAGGACGATCGTCCGTTCTGTGATTCTCCAGAACACACATGTTATGATATTAGGGTCATGCAGAGTGAGATGAGATCGCTACCCCTTTAAGAGAGAGAGAGAGGGGTGTGGCATGTGTGCATGTGTGTGGATGGTAGAGCGAGAGTGAGCATGTGTATGTTTCTGGAAGTGAAACGAGGCAGCAGAAAAACAGAGGTCTGTGATGTATTTTGTGAAACAGAAGAACAACTAAATAAATGCAACGGCCTCCCAAGAAGAGCTCGCCTCTCTCCAGTCATTTAAGCTAAAGTGGGTTATTGAACCTGATGAAGCTTGTTGCTTCTGCCCTGGGAGATGACAGAGAGTCATCCTCCCGTTTCCTCGACTACGGTCTGGGAGCCGACAGGAAAGTTCAACACATGCCCCTTAAACACCAACGCGTTTTCAGGGCCGGCTCGGAGCTAGAGCCTGAAAAGTACCGGTTTTTCCTCTTCACACCGCAGCGGCGCCGCCTCCTAGCTCCAGAATCCGGTTCCAGCTCCAAAAAATTGTCGGTCTAGAAGCAACTTAGCAAGACTCCGGAGCTAAGAGGCGGCGTCGCTTACGTCTCTCTTACGTCGAGGCGTGCAGGAAACTAAACCCACCTCCCCTGAACATGGGTCGACTGAAGAGTCTCGTCATGCCTGCCTACACCTTACATTGACCATCCGTTCGCTGTTATTGATCATTGTGGAGAGCAGGCAGACGTTTTGTTTTGTATTATAGCAGCTATCGGATGGAATCAATACATGGGCTGCACAGGTTGTCATGTCCGACTATCACAAGTAGAATCATAATGAAAAATACGCCGCTAAAATGTGCCTGTAGAAAACGGCTTATGCCACAATAGGATAGCAATAGCAAGTAGTCAGTTTAGCTTCGGTTGCTATGATAACATCACCCATTTTATACCAGAGAAACTTTCATAACAGCGTTGTGATGCCAAACAGCGTCAATTCAGACTGACACACATTCACTTAAGGGGAACTGGGGATATGTATCAGCTGCTTGTGTGACAGTCAGACAGTGAATACTTTAGAGCCGTGTGAGCTAACCCGGAGCTAACGGGAGAATAAACTCCCGTGGAAGAGCAGCCAGCACTGCAGCGGTCGGTAAATGCCGCTGAAACACATTAATAAACAATGAACCACGGCACTCTGGAGAAAAGTATAAGGTTGGAGAAGTCGTTATTTAATTTAAATCTGGCTTCGTATGATTAAAAGCAACATGATCATTGACCCGACGCAGTCCCCCGTTGTTGTTGTGAGCGCCGTTGGGGAGCAAACCAGCGATGTAAACGGTGATGTCGTAAACGTCGGGCTCTGGGCGGTGTGAACAAAGCGGGAGCAGAAAAGGGAAACCGTAGCTGAACCAGAAAAGCTCTAGCACGGAGCTAGAATGGGAAAAGCGCTGGTGTGAAAGCCGCAACACGGATGGCCAGTCCGCCCCTTTGTAGCATATTATTTCGATGAGAGATGAGCAGATCACCACTGGGCTTTTAACTAAAGACACAGCCACGCATAAACTGCGGCATTTGTACAGCTCCTTATGGGTACTGCAATTTGTGAAGTGCTTTCCTCTGTGGTCAAACGATCAGTACTGCACCACGGAAGAAAGCGGCAGAAAGTCGCCTGGAGTTAACCTCTTAAGCCCTGAGCCTGTTTTTCAGGTCTCAGGCTCGAAAATGACATTCCCAGAACAAATGACCATATCTTCCCTTCTAAAAGGGTTAAATTAATAATCTTTGTTCTCAAAGTAATGATAAACCTGTGAGTTGGATGTAGAAGTGTCAGAATCAATATAAATGTTTTTTATTTTAAAGAAAATTCAGATTTTACATAGTAAAAAACTGTAAATTATAGTGTCCGTCCAAAAATGATTTTTTACAGATAGTGAAAACTACCCTTGGATGATGGGTTAGTAGACTAAAAGCTTTAGGAATCCAAAGTACAACATATAATAAGTACCCTGTATCAAGATTGATGCAAAACAAGTGAAATTTGACCTTTTTAGAGAGGTTTAGCCAAAAAAAAAACACTTCTGGGGTCATTTGGGTGGATTTGACCTATCTCTGGCCCCCCTTGGTCGATTTGGTTGGTTGACACACCCTTGTGACTGTTAGAGCCAATAGAATCGAAGGGGGAGGCTCACATACACACACATTGTAAAGAAAAAATGTGGGCGCTTCGCGTGTGGAAATCGAAAGCAAAGTGGATGAATGTCTCCTTCTGGAATTTGGAAATTAAAAAGCCGTTTTATTGCTTATGGATTATCAGAAATAATTTCAAAGAAGGCACAGACACATAGGATGAACCTATGGATTAACTGCAGCATCGTTTTTTTTATCGTTTTAATGCCATTGAAGACCACTTTTGACCAAGGTAAGCCATGTTTACGTTTTTTAGCTACTTAGCTCCACATGTGATGATGTACGCTTTCGTTTATAGCGTCGCGAATGTTTATCACTGAGTGTTGAGGTTTTTTACACAGATTCAGTGTCTCCAGGACACCAAAAAACGAGTGGTTGGCTGTGCATCTAGGATAAGTAATAAGGGAGTTATGAGTGAGTTTAAGTGCCTTTGTAGGTTCCGTTTTTTTCGCTCGAGGCTAATTCAGAGGCTGAGTGCTAGCATTGTGGTTTTTTTTT